CCGTAGTGATATTTAGAGGGAGGTATGTAGAGTTTTTTTCTAAGTTCTTGAACTTAATTTTCAGACTTCATATAGTGGTAGAGTCTGGGCTTTTGGTGTTTTCATCACCCAGGTAGTGGTACCTCACAGGTAATTTTCATCTCCCATCCTCTACCTTCCCCCTGACTTTAAGTTTCTGTTGTCCATTATATGACTCTGTTTGCCCTCGTGTAGCCATAGTTTAACTCCTATAGTTTAGTTTTATGCTTGCTTATGAGTGAGAGAGCATGTGCCTTTTTTCTTCTGTTCCTGGGTTACATCACTTAGGATAATGGCCACTTCCATACAGGTTGCTACAAAAGACATGATCGCAGTCTGTCTTATTACTTAGTACACTCCATGGAGTGTGTCTGTAGGCCACACTGTCTTAATTCACTTATCCGTTAATGGGCACTTAGGTTGATTTTCTCTTCTTTGGTACTGATTTGTTTCTTAAGATTTTTAAACTTCATTTGCTTTCTTCCTTCTTTTTCTCCACAGCCAAGCCTCCAAACGACACCTCTTCCAAGACTTGACTTTGAACCAGAGTACTTTTAGAGCCTTTTAACTCCCTAGGAACCAGTGCTGTGGTATCCACATTTTCTCTTCTTCTAAAACAGATCCTAAGATATTTCTTGTGTTTTGCAGGGCCTACCTAGCTCTTTAATTGCCAAAGGCCAAGCTAGCTTTGATGGTTTTAGATGTTAGTTTTTCCATTTACATGTAAATTAAAATGTGTCAGTTGGTATAGGCTTAGGTGATTTTATCTGCTTTCCTGTTGATCTGAAGGCTTTTGTAGGATGTGTAAAGAAAATCTCATTTAGAGGGCTACAAGTATTTTATAGGACCTGGTAAGTGATGGTTTGATCACTTTAACCAATGGTTTAATGCCTCTTCTACATAAGCCCCAAGCTAACTACTGAGGCTAAAAATAAAAAATACTGAGAAAGTAATTCTTGTATTTGTATAACATTTTGAAGAATGACATAGAATACATTTGAAATGTTAATTCATTTAATAGCTCTGTGAGATAGATGTTTTCCCCATTTTATGGATAAGGATGCTGAAGCTAAGACAGCAACTCATATGGACAAAAGATGAGTGAAATCCAAATCTAAGATGTAAGAGTCTAAATCTACTGCCTTTCCATCAAAACGATCATATCCTTTTTATATTCCACTCAGTAGTCCCCCAACATTCATTGAGTTCTTTACAGCAGTCCCCAACCTTTTTGGCACAAGGGACTAGTTTGATGGAAGGTAATTTCTCCATGGATTGGAGATAGTTTTGATATGAGTCTGCAAGCATTTGATTTCTTATGATCTCTGTGTATTCAGACCTTTGCTAATGAGAGTCTATGTATTTGCAGCTGCTCCCCAATGCTAGCATTAGGAGCTCAGCTATACCTCAGATCATTAGGCATTAGAGAATAAGGAGCACACAACCTAGATCTCTTGCATGTGCAGTTTGCAGTAGGGTTTCACTCCTATGAGAATCTAATGCCACTGCCTTCTAGTAAGCTGAGCTCAGGCAGTGATGCAGTCTAGTGATGGCGAGCAGCTACAAATACAGATGAAGCTTCACTGACCCACCTGCCACTCACCTCCTACTGTGTGCATGCCCAACCCCCTCTCACTACCTGCTGTGTAGCCTGGTTCCTAACAGGCAACAGAAGGGTACTTAACCTGGTGCATGGCTTAGAGGTTGGGGACACAGTTTTAGAATGTACTGAGCTGTGTACCAGGCACTGAACAAAATAGACCAATACAATATTTGTGTTTATGGAGCTCATGTTTTAGCAATAATATCATCCATCTTCGATCCCCACCCTGTCTCACTCAATTCATCTATCCGTAACTTCTTTATTTGGCTTTTTAAAAATAATAATCAAAATCATTTATAGGACTTAATTATGTTTGTCATTCAACATAATTGTGATTTTTAATAGTGCCAAAATGAGTTTTGCATGATTATTATTGTACCATATAAGTTAGAAGTAAAAGTTGTGTACTCTTAGTAGTTTGGTAATAAAACATGTACTTAGAGACTTACTGTGTTTTCTTTTGAGCTTTGTATCTGATGTCTTAAAAAGAGTCTGTTATGTCATACTTGGAATTAAAAGTTCATCTTCCCAATTTAAGATAATTATGAAGTTATTGATTATATACCACATAGTTTTAGGATAGGTTAAAATTCCATGCTAAGCATTTCTGAGTGTTCTGGTTTTCATTTGCTAGCATAAGAGGTAAAGGATTTTATAACCAGCTTTCAAATAGAATTCCATTTAGAATTCTTATAGTACTTCATTAAGAAAATTAAAATATGTTCATCATTGTGCTATTTCTCATTATAACTTGTTAATTTTGGCAAAGAAATGCTATTTTGAATTCCCATTTGGAGTAATATGGGATAATCTATATCTACTCAATTTTAATACAAATTTTTGAGCGACAACATGGCAGATTGGCACCCTCTGTTGGTCATTTTATTTACCTACAGGCAGAAATATAAGTAATAAAATAAAATTAAAAGTTTATCTTTATATGTTTGTATTTTTCTTTTGAATTAGTATTTACAAGTCTCACTAAACTAATGCTGTAAACTGGGTTCATATGAATAAGGCACATTATCATTTAGGGGTGCTTTGAGGAATTTTGTGTTTATTTGCTTTCTCCTCAGGCCGACTCTAATTCTAGCATTCAGAATTGGCATTAATACTGCAGATTTTCAAACAAGTATTTATTTAACTGTAGCAAACTGTTAGCTGCAGTAGCACATTATTAGACAGATAATGTTTAACAATTTTTTTGTTAATTTGGATTAATTAGAAAACATCACATTTAATACCTTAAATAATAGTTTTGGGAGTAATTTGGATTAAAGATAATCTAAGCTTCAGAAAAGAGGCTGTAATACTTCAGTTATTATTTTTTAACAGACATTTAATTATTCTGTAATATTATATAGTTAATTTGATTTATATAAAATATAAATGTATGTAGTAAATTTGCTGACTAGTCCTGGACATGCCTATGCAAATAATTTGTAATTGTAAAGGAGAAACGTATACTCTGCCAGATAGATGACTGAATAGTTTGGAAGGGGGAGGTTTTTTTTGTTTTTTGTTTTTTGGGTTTTTTTGGTAAATATTCAGCAAGTTTGCTTTTGGTAGTTCTAGTATTTCAGAATTTCATTTACTTCCCCAAACCTCAAATTTAATCCAGTTTAGTAATACCTATTGGATCTCAACTTTAGCATATCTATGAGCTATTTTATAATACTTAAGTTACTAAGAGCTTCCTTGTATTTTTTTCACTGAAATAATTATTTTAAGAATTTGTATTATTCACTGTTCATATGGATTTTTTAAAAATAGTACTTACCAGTTCCAACTAAGTGTGTTCATAATTCTTATAGCAATTTGAAAAAATTGGGGTTTGTATTTGATTTCTAGTGGGCCTTTTAGTATATGATTTCACCAAAATATATAATAGACTATTCAACTTAACTTTTTACTCCATGATTAATTAAATAATAATCAAGGTAATGTTCTCCATTATGACAGACTAAATTTTAAAATATTGAACTTTTTAAAATTTATGATACAATGAAACATTATTTTGAATTAATAAATGAATTCTTGTATCTTTTATGGAGTGAATCCCCTAGTGAAATACCAGGTATAACTGTAAAGTAATTAGATCAGATTCTGAGAATATATGGCTTTAAATCTAGTAGATTATTTCAGTCATACCTAGTGTATAATTTTATAATGTCCCATAAAAACTTACCAACTTTAGTACCTCAGTAAATTAGCTCATTTGGAATATACTTCACCTATAATACTTACAAGTTTCGTTTACTCCAGTGAGGGGGTAGAAAGTAAGGCAAGTTTCATTTTTAAATTTGGATTCATAATAATGAATAAATAGGTAGTCATTTTAACAAGCCTACTGAAAGCAGTGAGTTGGTGTCATCTTCTGAAAATTAGATACTTTCCACTTCAAACTCTTGCCCAATCTTTTTCCAGAAGCCCTCTTATAATCAAATAGTATTCAAATGGAAAGTTTCCATCTTATCACTTATTTGAAGTGCCTAATTAAATTAGCTGGCGGTTAATTAGCTAACCAAATTAAATAGGGACAAAAAAATACAAAGAATACTCTTGGAAATTTTGCCCTAGAAATGAAGTGCTAATCTCTAAATGCAGGTTATTAGGAAATAGGATATTGGGGAAATACTTGACTGGGATTTCATGTAGTAGGAGATATCTATTTTGAAAGTTTTTTTATGGTTCTAGTATATTCCAATGGCAGATTTGGAAGTATCGTATCCTCAGAATTTCCTTGGAAGCTTTTTTATTGTCATAATAATATTTTCCTCTCTGCAGAGCCGTTCCTTTTTCCACCTTAGGTAATTTGTTGTATTAGTAGTATATGCTTAATTCTTTGGAATTTAGGTGAAATGAAATATGACATTAATTTGTATATAAATACCTATGTAGTAGAGTATACATTTTTGGATAATTGTTAGATTTTATAAGGGTAAGATACTCGTGCACAGCAAGTTGCATAATTGGAAAGTTTATTAACATTTTTAGGCCACTATCTAGTAAGCTAGAAATATAATTTATAAAGTAGTGATCCAAGATATTATACTTCCAGGGACTTAAACAAATACTGTACATTTTGTTTACAGATGCAAGTGCTCAAAAAAAGGCTTTTATTGTAGAACAACCAGTATACAATCACTAGGGAACATGAAGTTTATGAAAAATCAAAAGAATAGCTGTAAATATTTCTCTTAACTGTCTAGCTGTTGACTAAACATCTTAAAGTTGGAGTCAAATAGTTTATATTAACTGGAAGTCATTATTATTCATCAATATGTGTTTACTTTTTATTTTTAGGCATTTGTGAAAGACTTAAAATAATTACTTACTAGAAAGTATCTTTCTTCATAAGACTTTTTTGTTTTGACAGTGATGTGACTTTTGAAAATAAAGAGCGAACAGCATGTAAAGGAAAGATTGCCATATCAGGTATGCTATAGATAAATCATTTTATATTGCTAAATAAATTCTATATTTTTTATTTTTATTTTCTGCCTCCATTCTCTTCATTTAATTTTTCATACCTGTATCAGAATATTTATTCAAAAATAGTTTTCATCATTATGCTCTACATTCGTGTAGAACTTTACAGCTTGAGAAAACTGTTTCATACATTACATGTGCTATGCAGTTTTTTCTTTTCTTTCTTTCTTTTTTTTTTTTTTTCTGAGACAGAGCCTCAAGCTATCCCCCTGGGTAGAGT